ACATTATGCATATTGAAAAAAATGTATTTGAAAGTGTTATTGGTACGTTACTTAATATTAAAGGAAAGTCTAAGGATGGCCTTAAAGTAAGGGAGGACATGTTAAAGATGGCAATACGAACTGAACTAGGACCCGTGAAGAAAGGAAGCCGAACATATCTACCACCTGTTGCTTTTACTCTATCTAGAAAGGAGAAAAAGATATTGTGTAAGTTTCTAAGTGAAGTTAAAGTTCCAAAAGGATACTCTTCATATATTAGAAGACTTGTGTCTATGAAAGACCTCAAGTTAAAGAGTTTAAAGACACATGATTGCCATGTTATAATGGAGCATTTTCTACCAATAGGTATACGTTCTATTTTGCCAGATAAAGTAAGGAGTGCGATAACTAAGTTGTGTTTTTTCTTTAGGTCAATTTGTAGTAAGGTGATTGATCCTGAGATCTTACCAACATTGAAAAAATAAATTGTTATTACTTTGTGTGAGCTTGAAATGTATTTTCCTCCCTCATTTTTTGACATAATGGTATATCTAGTTGTTCATCTTGTGAAAGAGACACAGTTGTGTGGCCCAGCTTATATGAGATGGATGTACCATGCTGAACATTATATGAAAGTATTAAAAGGATACGTGAAAAACCAAAGTCGCCCATAGGGTTGTATTGTTGAGCGATACATTGTTGAAGAAGCGGTTGAGTTTTGTACTGAATATTTGTCCAAAGTTCAATCCATTGGACTCCCCAAAAGTCATATCTTTGAAAAAAAGGCAGGTAAAAGATTAATTGGAAATAAAATTGTGACAGTATCAAAAGATGAACGGGATCAAGTGCATCTGTATGTTCTGCACAATGACAGTGAGGTTGAGCCATATGTTGGACGATGCTAAAGATAAAATATGGAGTGAGATACAGGTACCATATGTGATGTTAATTGTTTTTAATGACGCACTTTGTTTATGATTTTCGGTTACTTATACTAACGCACTTTGTTTATGATTTTCGTAGAGGTCGTTCATCATTGAGGATACAAGAAGAGATTATATTCTTAAATTGACCGGGAAACTACATAGAGGGTTTAGAGCTTTCTTGTCAAACAAGTTTCTAAGGGATGCAGATAAATTTTTTGTTGATGCAGAGCTTCCAAGGAAATATGTTGATTTGATTACAGCTGAAGAATGGGAAACTTTTAAATCAAAAAGAAGTACCCAAAAATTTGAGAGCTTAAGTGTCGTAAATCGACAACGAGCATCAAGTCCAGCATATCCATACAGAAAAGGCCGTATGGGATATGCACGATTACAACAATCTATTGTAAGTATCTATAAATTGCAAAGTATCTATAATATATACACGCTTATATTTAATCATGTTTTTTGGCTTAATGTGTAGCTAACAAAAGAGAATAGTTCTGAAACATCTCTTCCGAAACACATTTTGTGGAAGAAAGCACGTGTGTGTAAGGATGGAGCTGTTGAAGAAAAAGTTCAACAAATTTTCAAGAGATGTGTAAGTATAACATTATTTATTTAATTATATCATACTTTTATTTATTTAATTACATCATTCTTTTATTAACATATCATTCTTTAATTACAATATTTATATGAATTTTAGGAGAGTCTTTCCTAGTCTATACCTCCAGACGAAGATACTGATTGCAGGAGAATACTCTCACGAGCATTAGATATTCGTGAGTATTCTAGTCGGGTGAGGGGTAAGGGATTTGGGATCACTCCAACATCCTTGAGAAAAAAACAAAGACAAAATCTCCAAGCAATAAAGAACTGCAGGAGAAGTTGGAAAAGTTACAACAAGAAGTCTATGAGCTGAGAAAGGAAAAGGAAATCGATCAAGCTACAGGCTTTAAAGATACTAGTGACAAAGCTAGTATCAATGGTAACTTTGGACAAAATATTCCCGAGGTAATTATATACCATCTTTATAAATTATAAAACCATGTTTATTAACTATATAACCATGTTTATTAATTATATAACCATATTTATTAAATTATAGGGCATTTCCCGGTGTCAACTCTATTTATCGACACCGACTTGTCGGATGGTTGGAAAGGTAAAAGTGTAAAATATCTCGGGAGAAATGCTTCACCATAGACCTCTCCCAGAGGGATTTTTGAAAGTATCGGTCGACGTTGTTTTAGAGGGGGTGCGTTGTTACCACTACCTGACGATGTGGCGGATGCAACATTGGTGGCAGATGCAATAGGATCGTTTGTTGCATGGCCATCAAGCCTCGTTTGCGTAGATAATGAGGTATGCTTAAAATCGTTTACTATTCAAATTTTTTATGGCAATTATACTTACATTTTGCTTACATGGTAATGTTAGACTCCCATAAAATCCATTCCTAAAGATAAGGGGATTAGGCGGGATACCGAGTCAATTGCATCATTTGAGGTAACACAATTATATGAAATTTATGCTATGAGAAATGCTAATTTGTGATTTTATACTCCCCCTAACTAATTATATGATAACTAGATTCATGCTAAAGAGACTGCACAACTCAGTAGGGGTAAGGCGCCTGAAATTAGCAACATTTCCACAAAAAAAAGAATGTTGCTAAGAACACTGTGACACACAAAAAAACTACAGCTCAGTTCAGGTCGTGCCTTCGAACATGTTTAGGAATTATAGATATTTCGGATGGTGGTACCCGCCTTATACCTATGAGTGCAATATCTTTGGTTTTGAATATCTTGAAGCAATTGGTAGAGAGGATATGGAGCAAGTTTTTAGGCATTTGGAATTAGGCCTCGGTGTTATCGGTATATACATCAGGTATACTCTGGTCAAATTTGTTTAATTAAATGAACAATTCAATCCCTCATTTCAATGAATATAGTATAATGTTAATCATGTTTTAATTTAAGGTTTATGTATGACAATATTGTGCGTCCGCGTGGATTAGAAGCAAGATTTGGCTTCTTAGCTCCTAACACTGTTAATTCCAGGTTGATTATAACGAGACTAGATGATGTCATATCATATGTACTAGGTTTATTCGTGGCCAGTAAAGATACTGAGAAGTTGTTCTTTTTGCCATATAATATTGGCAACGAGTTAGATTTTCATCCTAACTTGATCTATTATAATTTTCCGTTTTTGGCCATTGTTTAATCTTTGTTTAATCTTACAGTGGACACTGGTTATTGGTTGCGATTAATCCTATGAGAGAAACTGTGTATTATCTGGACTCGTTATACAATGATTGGTCAACATATCCAGATTTGAAACAGATGATTGACACGTAAGTGTTTCGCTCCCAAAGAGATATTCAAGTTTATATTTATGTTTATGTTTATGGTCAACATATCTGGATTTGTGTTTATATTTATGATTCTATGTGAGATTGTTCTAAATAGTCGTTTATATTTTATTATAGCGTTCTACTTGCTTTTCGCTCCCAACGAGATATTCAAGTATAAAAAAGTAGAGCCAACAACGTTACATGGATCAGAGTGGAGGTATATTTTCACAAAGAGATATTCAGTTTTGCTTACTTTAGTGATGATACTTGATAAAACAATTTAAGGGGTATATCCTGATATATATTCGTATTTTCTTTCCATGTGTAGTGTCCTCTCCAGCGTAACGGTATAGATTGTTGCTATTTTATGTTGAGGTTTATGAAAGAAACTATTATTTTGGATCGATTAGAGATTCCATCCACGGTATGGATTTCTAACTTAGGAATTACATACTATTTTCATATTTTGTGTTTCTCATAAAATGACATATTGTTTTAACTAAATCACATACTATGTTATATTATTATATATGTAGTACTTTGAGGAATTCAATTGTGCACATTACTCAAAAGATCAATTGGATGAACTTATGGAGGAATGGTGTCAATTCATTATCGGGTTGAGAATTTTATAAGCTAAGGTATATTGTCTTATTTCCTTTGATGAGAACTTTTGAGTTTTGAGTATAAATTAAATTCGAATAAAGTGCAACGTTAATATTATCATGTTATGAATTTCGATCATTTGGTTTTTTTTCAGGTTTATAGGTACATGTGTAGAAGATAGAGCTAAGATATTCATGTTGTTGTTGTTTCATGAGAATTCTCAAAGATAGAAAGATGTATAGATGTAAATTCAATTTTGAATATTTTAGGCATTTTAACTTATAGAATTTTAACTTGTATGATAAATTTTATAATTGTTGTTGTCTATATCATCAATTTATATATATGTGCAATTTTTATATATGTATATTTTATTAGAATGAAGCTACCGAATATGGAGCATAAAAGATAATTCTGAAAACCCGGATCAAAATATTGGAATGAAGCTACCAAATATAATAAAAATTCTGATTAAAATAGATAATTTATTATAAAAAAATTGTAAACAATAGACAACGCTTTAGGAGAAAAGCGCTGTAAAAACTTTAAAAAAAAGCGCTGTCTAAAGTCTGAAAGCGCTATCTAAAGTGGAGGAATAGACAGCGCTTTCAAAGGAAAACGCTGTCTAAAGCCTATCTGGAAAAAAATTACAAAGCGCTGTCTAAAGCCCAAGCGCTGTTAAAGGGGTATATAAAAAAGCGCTGTCTAAAGCCTATCTGGAAAAAATTACAAAGCGCTGTCTAAAGCCCAAGCGCTGCTAAAGGGGTATAGAAAAAAAGCGCTGTCTAAAATGGACATAAGACAGCGCTTTTACGTTGAAAAAAAACATTGTCTTTTCTTTTAGTAGCGCTGCTTTAGACAGCGCTGTTAAAGGCCAAAAAAAACATTGTCTTTTCCCTTCTTTTTTTTTTAGTAGTAAATGAGACTCACACATCAGTTATATTATTCTATTCTATACTATAATACTTTCATATATTGATATAATGCTTAATATATTTCTATACATAATATGATTGTTTCTTTCTTGTATATGTTATAGGAAATGGATATTGGTCACTCATTGGATGAAGACAAGTTTGACATAGAGAATGTGCAACAACCAAGTTTCTCTTTTGAGGGTTCTAATAATGTCAATTGTCAAATCTTCAATTCATAGTATTAGCTCAAATTGTCTCATTTCTCAAGAACATTATGATGCTAATTCAAAACAAACACCATCTCAACACCTTCTGCCTTTTGAAAACTCATGTGTGAAACCTTCTCCTAATAGTGCCATTGCTACATGTTCTTCCATCATGGACCTAAAAACAACAACATTGAATCACAATGAGACCAGTGAGTTACCAACATTAATTAAGAAAACAACCAAGAAGCGTATTAAAGCCTACAATATCATTGGTAAATCATAGATTCATCATAATCAAGTATTCAAAAATTTATTTCTTAAATAATTAATTAAATTGTTTCATAATTTTCTTTCTTTTGAATTAGTATTATAAATTTTATTTTTGACTTAAATGTATTTTTAGTCATTCTGTTGTTTATTTCTTTTCAAAAAAGTTTTGATCATTTTAATTTTAAAATTAAGTTTTTGATTTATCAATTTTAATGATTCCTGAATTTGAATGATCTCCACCTTATTTTGAGTCAAATATGTTGACCTAACCGTTTCTATCTAAATTCCAATTTACTATTTATGTAATATTTTAATGTGAAATCACAATCGCTACATAAATTTTCAAATATGTAAGAATCTCAACAAAAATTAAATAAATATGATTCTATTAAAATAAATGATTAATAATATTTGTTATTTGGTGAAACGGCTATGCATATATACTTATTTAAAAATGGCCCGGATTCTAATCTTTTAATAAATAGTTTTTAAAATTTTGAATTTTTAATTAGTGAAGACCCAAAGTAACCCCTAATAAAATCTCAGAACCTAACTTTGTCCGAGACAATTAAAAATATTAATTTTAATCTCTTACAAAAATATATAAAAATTTAGAATTTTTAGTTTATATAGTTTTTTTTTTTCATCCATCATGGCATGCACCACATTTGCTATGTTATGGAACCAAGAGTCATTTTAGTCTTTAATTAATAGTATTATAAAATACATTTCAATTGTAAATACTTTAAAAAGGAGATTTTAGTCTCTATCGGATTATTGTGTATTTCATGTAAATATTCAAAAGACTATTGGAGAGAGGTTAAAAATGTAAAATAATAAATAAACGTATAAATAAATTGACATAGTAGAGATCTATAATAATTACATTAAAGTTCTAACAAAAAAAGTGTATAAAAAGTTGACTCATAGGCTAATGATGGTTAGATCTTAGATGATTTCCTAAAGAGGTCACTAACATCGAGAAATTTTGCATTCAACTCCGATTAAGTGAAAATCTATTGATGGATAGCAATTCTGTAAATATTCTTTAAACCTAAACATCCGTTTTAACTCTTATTTTCTTCCCATCTCAACTCACCTAAATGTATTTTATTAAAATAAATATTAATGAATGCCTCCGAAACACTCATTAAAAATTTTAAAAATATTTTATTATTCGAAAATACAACTAGTTAAAAACTTAAAAAATGTCAAAAAATATGTACAAATATACTACCAATAAACATAAATCACACGTAATAATTTCATTAAAGCAACTTACTCACCATGTGACATTTGTTAGTTTTTAAAAATATATTTTTATTAATATTACCAATTTAATTTAGGATATAAAAAATCAACACTAATTAAATATATTTATATACAAAGTGTAATTTAATAAGATTCACACAAATTATACTACCATTTTTTTATATGTATAAAAATATATATTTAAGGTAATTTGATTTTCTCGGTAAAAATTATATTTTTTTCACAATCCTCGTCTCATGCGCCTCCAGCAAACCAACCAAATCTTTCACTTTAGTGGTTTCAAGATTATTAGATTCTTGAATTATTACAATAACGTGATCAAAGTGAGAGGTCAACATTCTCATTATCTTTTCAACTATCATCTTATTAGTTATGGTTTTACCACAACCCTTCATGAGATGAAAGAGTTTTTGAATCTTCGACACATATTCTGCAACTTTTTCATCTTCTCCCATCGACAATAATTCATATTGTTGACGCAAGGTTTGTAACTTGACAACCTTGACTTTCTCACCTCCTTCGTAATATTTCGCCAGAATATCCCATGCCTCCTTCGCCGTTTTAGTATGAGAGATTCTGCCAAAATTAGCAGCATCGACCACTGTCTGAATGCAATAAGCAGCCTTGCAATTTTTCTTCTTGATTTTGTTGTGGGCTTTTTTCTGTTCGTCGGTTGCATTTGCAGCCAACGCATGAACACCGTCGATAAGCACTTCTAGGGTTTCATGGAAGTCAAACAAGGATTACGTCTGTTTTTCCATCGGATCTGATTCTTGTTGTCAAGCATTAGAAGAGAATTCAGGATGCCATTATCATTAGTCATCTTCACAATAGTTGATTCACTTGCCCTAGAAACACGATCTCTGACATGAAATTCTTGAAAAATTGATCAAGAATAATAATCAGAAGCTCTGATACCAATTTGTTAGTGCGTGAGGCACTTTAGTGAGGAGAGAAAGAGAGAACAATAAGCGAAATAAGGATTTATATTATCGAATTGTCTTAATAATGATACAGACTAGGACTACGTATATACAACCCTAATTAGTTTTAGGTCTACACAATTGGGATTAATATTTAAATATTAAACCTAATCTAATCAAATTAAATATAATATTTTAACAAATCTAATTTAATATTTCAACATTTTTATGGCCGAATTGTGGAGTTTAGTTGAAGGCCTTAAGTTGGTTTGGAGTTTGAATTTCACTAATGTGGAGATTCAGTTAAATTTCAAAAATGTGATTGACGCGATTACGAGTCAAAAGAATATTAATCTTGGGAGGTGTTTATTAAACATAGATTAGGAAGTGGTTTTTAATCATTCCTACCAAGAAGCAAATAAGTTAGCATATACTTTAGCAAAGCATAATTTTACTATAGATGATATTTGCATTTTCTTTTCTAGTTGTCCAGAAATATTTGATCATATTCTTGATGCTGATAATCGGAGTTGTGTCACTCCTTGATTTGTTGTCGTGTAGTCTTCTCTTTTTTGGATGCTAAGCACTCTTTTCAATCAAAAAAGAGAGAAATATATTTTGAAAGATTAGGTGAGCTTACGGCATAGAACAAATTGTAAACATGTACTACTTATTGTAAGCATAATTATATTTTAAAAATGGAATTCCTCTATCAACGTTATAAACACCTTATTTACTATACTCCATTCTTTTCTTTTTTTTTACAATTTTCTTATCTTAAATTTTTGCGAATTCACAAACAATCAATAATTTTTTATTATTAATATTTGTAATTAGCTATTATTATATTATATTTATTTAATTCTCAGCAATAACTAATTAATGATATCATTTAAATTTTTATAATTAACATTATATTAAACTTTAAAATAATATATAAATAAAATTTAAAAGGGATATTATTAAAATAAGTCAAAGATATTATTAGCTAAATTAAATAGGAAAATATTGTGTGAGTAAATAATTTAATTGTACGGATATGTGATTATTGTGTGCAGTTGTCATTTTCTTAATAGAAGAGAAATTATAGGGAATCTTTTATGTATATATAGTACCTTGATTAATGAATAATATAATTAGAATTATTACTTTGAAAACTTTTATATGGTATCAGAGCCTCGTTTAAGATTTGTTGGGCCACCTGCTATCAGGTTTCCGCTATCGGATCACCCACCATTTATTTCTATACTCCAGATGTCCAATCATGGGCATGAGAGAGTGTGTTAAGAGTCTCACATCGGACAATATATGACCTGGACATGTCCTTATAAGTGGGAGCAATCATCACCCTACAAGTCAGTTTTGTAGGATTGAGTTAGGTCAATCCACATTTCTTAACATGGTATCAGAGCCACCATTGTCTCTCTTTCAATATAGGAAACAATGTTTTTTATTTCTTAGTAATTTCTGATGGCTTCTAATAAAAACAAACCGGAGAATTCTGGAACTTTCGTTGTTGTCCAATTCAGCGATGCACTCACCCCATAACGGCTTGACGGCACTAACTGCGTCAAATGTTCGTTGAATGCACAGAACAAAATCAGAGGCAGAAAATGATGAGGTTATGTTATCGGAACAAAGACTGCACCGGCAAAAGATAAACCCGATGAATATGAAGCATAGGAAGATGAAAATTGCTTGGTCAAGTCTTGGCTTCTGGACTCCATGACCAAAGAAATCAGATCTCTTTTCATTCTCTTAGCTACGACAAAGGAAATTTGGGAAACTGTGAAACAAATGTACTCCATCGACCAAGATGCATCAAGAGCTTATCAATTTCATCGTGAGGTAATCTCTACTCAACAAAATGGTGGATCTATTATTACATACTTTGGAAAATTGCAGAGGTTATGGTAACAGTAGATAATATTAAATAATTGTACCATGGAATGCACTAGAGATGTTGAGAAATACAATAAGATGGTTAATTCTCAACGAGTTTATATTTTTTTGGATGGTTTAGATTCACATTTGGATGGAGTTCGTGGTCGTGTTCTAACTACCATTCCGCTTCCTAATGTTCAATCAGTTTATGCAATTGTATGTGCAGTGGCAAATCGTTAAGAAGCTATGCTTAGTGGCGAGTCTTCGAATGGGCCCGCCTTGGCTATCAAGAAGTATCCGAAGAAAGAAATCTGCAAGTGTAATCATTGTAATGGACATAATCATGTCATGGAGACATGTTTTAAACCCTATGGCTACCCGGAGTGGCATCCAAAGGGAAAAACTACTTCGAATAATATGACAGAAAATAGCAAGGCTCATCTTTCTACTGCTGTCAGCTTTGTAACCAAGTCAGGTATGTCTAACTCTGCTTATAATCTTCCTGTTATTATTAGAAATAGCGATTGGATAATCGATACAAGTGCTACTGATCATATGACTTGTGATCAACGTATGTTTACTAATTTCTCTCTTAACTGTCATAAAACTGTTATTATTATTGCCAATGGAGTGGAATCTCCCATTGAAGGTGTTGGTACAGTGACTATATCACCTTCTCTATCAATACCTAATGTCTTATTTTTTCCTACCTTGAATTGCAATCTTATCTCTGTCAGTAAATTAACAAAATCACATTCATGTGTTGCTATGTTTTATCCAACCCACTGTGTTTTTCAGGATATACATACCAAGGAGAAGATTGGCAGTGGTAGATATAGTGAAGGGTTGTATTATCTTTAAAAAGTTTCACAAATCCATAAAGGAGAATTGGTTCATCTTGCAAGTGATCACATACAAGATCAAAATAAAAAAA